TCACTCTTACAATTATCCTACCAATAACATATTTTACTTACTATGTCCTACTTGGAAAAATACTTGTTATTCATTCCAAAAATATTATGATGAGAATACATGACACACCTTTCAAAATTTCTTCTCTATTCATGAGTATTTTAGCTCACGACGATTTAGTACCACATAGTCGGAGCACTTTTGTGAATCATGACTTAAGAAAAAAGGAAGAAGACAAAAACAAGAACAACTCGAGTCAATATTGGAAAGGTTTCAAAACGAAATGACATTTGATGAATAAGCTAATAGATCATCAAATTTTTACCAAGAAAGTTGGTTCTTAACTGTATATAAGGCATTACTTGTATGCCTTTCATTGGGATATTTCTATGTGATAACATTTTGTTTGACCGAAAGAAGCCTTTCTCGAGAATGCTATATGGTAGGATTTAGGAAAACATAATGCATAGTAACTTTTATCACTTGATCGTAGGAATAAAATCTTCATTTTCCAGTTAGAGGGTGTAGATGTGCAGGGCTTGTGTTGATTTGTGATGGCAGAGCTTCCTCAAGAGGCAACCACACTCACAGCGTCCTGGTTTGATACACTCTACGGCAACCACACCCCATTCTCAAGATTTATCGCATATAGAGGTTTGTTTGTCATCTTAAGATTATTAGACAAGCATCTATTTACAACTTTATCGAAATCATCTGATGAAACTATTGAGCAAAATCGAAACGTGTGACGGTACGCTTCACTCGTCCCATATCTCGGAGTAGGGGTGCGAAGATATAAGACTGTATCCACTTCATGCCGGTTGTGGCGCTGTTCAAGGGCAGTGATGTTGATATTTCATTTTCTCTTCACTAGTGAGTCAATAAACAAAAAGACACTCAAGTGCAGTGTATGGTTCCTCATTGGATTTTCAAAAACCAATTCATTTCTCGCATAGACTCAAAGAACGTGAGAGAAGTTAACAAAGAGTAAGAGAGAGTGAAGGCGTGAGAGAAGCAGTGAAAAACGTATGTTCTTCCTCTGCAAGAAACATTAAAATCATTTTCAATTTTTTTCTTTGAGAACGACACATACTGCAACAAAGTGAGTGTATCAAAAAAAATAGAACAAAATCTTTTCATTCACGCTAATGGATTTTCTGATTCTCTAATATGGGAAAAAAGAACGGTTGTACAACAGTTTAAGTATTTGTCTTTAATCCGAGTTCAAGGCCACCTCAAGGGTGGGGTGTGGATGTGTGGTGTGGGTGTCTTTTTTTCCTAGCACCCACACGCACATCCACACCCACACCCACACCTATACAAATTCAATCTATTTTCACTGATTAAAAGGTATATTGTATTTACCTGTACCATCTGGAGTATCATAATCAGTACCAAAAATATTAACATATGGTAAACGACCCACAGCTACTTGTGCAATATATGACATAAGATTATTTGGTTTACCAATAGGATTTTCACAAATTTAACCTGTTTTATTAGCAACAACAGGATTAAAATAACGTAAAAGAATGATATTCCATTCCTAAAAGAACTAAGAATTATAATAAAAAAAAAAGATCGTCTCAATTTTAAAATACGAACAGGTTGAGCAATTATTGTATCTTTAAGAATATGTTCACATATATATTTACTTTAACCATATGGATTAGTAATAGCATCACCAATACATGGATGTTTTTCATCAAGTGGTAAATATTTTGGTATACCATAGATAGTAGCTGATGATGAAAAAAGAAAATTTTTAACATTAATTTCTTCCATACACTAAATAATATACCAATAAATATTTTATTTAATAATTAGAAAATAATTTACCGTAAGTAAATTAAGTAAACAACCAATATTATTTTTATAGTATAAAATTGGTTTTTGTACTGATTCATCAACTGCTTTAAGTGCAGCACAATTAATTATTGCATAAATTGAATATTTTTTAAAAATATTTCGTAAATTTTCAAGATCAAGACAATCAATTTTATAATCAATTATTTGACATCCAGTAATTTGTTCAACTCGTTTTGAACATTCTAAAAAAGAAATTTCTCAATAGGATCAAATTTTCTATTTGATATTTTTTTCTTTTTTGAACTCACCTGCTGATGAATTACATTCATTATCTACTACAATTGGTGTATAACCAACTGTAATCAGTTCAATAACACAATGACTACCAATAAAACCAGCACCACCAGGTACAAGTACGTATTGTTTCTTTTGATCACCTTACAAGCAACATATATTTCATAGGTTTATCATTTTTTGTCGAAGTCTGAAGATTGATTCTCAAACTTTTTATTCTTATATTTATTTTTGAAGAGAATAATCTCATCTTTAGTTCTATACAAAAAATTGCTAATATAACGTATCTCATAACTCCTAAATCAATAGCCTAGTTTTCGGTTAGGGAAAAGTCTGCTGCGGCGAAACGATTGGTTTACCACTTCTCTGTAGATACCAAAGCTTTCCAATAATTTACTATTTACCAGTTGTTGCTGTCATTCTTTGACTTGCCAATTTATCAGAATAATCTAAAACTAATTATACAGATAACTATTTGATTATTGCAAATAATTCTTTATTTTATGTACGAAGTATGTGAATAGTTATTGAATTGTTTTATTTATTTATTTTTTTAAAGCTTAAGAAATACAAGAAAAAACAAAGGAATGCGGTGAACTCGGTTTATAAGCATAAGTATAAAGAAAAATGCATAGACAAACGAAATATTCAAGATGGTGATATTGTTAAAGATTTACATCTTTTTCTTTTTTTTTATAGCAAGCACATTACAAATTAACCTAGATAAATACAATCAACAACAACAACAAAATGAATATCACTGGGGCTTTCTTATTTCCCACCCAACAAATCAAACACACACAAAAATAGTACTACATGTAGCAGCCGTTCTCACCTATTCAAAACAAAAATGAAACCATGGATCTTTGTTTTATAAAGAACCATATAAATTCAAGGAATTTGGAATGTCTATAAGAAAGAAGAAGCCTCAAATGAAAGCGCAGAGGAAAAAAAATGTATTAAAATATTAACAGTCAAAAAGAACAAAAAAAAAACAATTACACTACGAAAAAAAAACCAAAACATTTTCATTAAAACATTTGCAGTAGGTGTTCCAGAGTCACGTCGAGGTTGATTAAGAACATTAAAATTAACATTAAATACAATCAAACAATCTGTAGAAAGACTTGCCATGATATATCTAAATGAAATAAAGAAAATATATATATATACAGTGGCTGTCAAAATTGTGCGACCACCCCTTATAGTGTACTTTTGTTGCCTAGTTTTTCGATGATGACAGCAGATAGAAACTTTTAGTTTTCACCACATTAGTCTTTAATACT